AAAGCAAACGGCATACGGTTTTGAGTAATGTATTTTGTTTGCATTGACAGGTTAACCCACAGCCTGCTTGAATTTGCGCTTTAATTAGTCAGCCTTTTGATTTATTTTGAAACGATGCCCATTTTCCAATTTGACGGCAATTTCCCAGGGCAATTTAAATAAAGGCTCCCCACTTCCAGGTTCTACCCATGTTATGTGTAAATGCAAGTTCAAAAGACGGTTTTAAGTTTGTCACGTGGGGTTTTTGTTTAAAAAACAAAAGTTTATTTTAAAATTTTTAAAAATTTGAAATAATAAAACATTTTTCACCCGAAAACTTTAAACCACTAATTGGTACAAAAAATTTCATGTTTATCTTAGGTCAATATTCTTTTATTTATAATGGCCACTGGATACATATATGGACGACTTATCCCCAATTACTGTGATAACTAAGTTATCAATATTTATAAAAGATGGTGATAAAACAGTAACTACACGAATAATGTTAATCTGAGGTATACCTCCTCAAGTAAAGCTAATGTAACGATCGCACCTCAATGTAAAACAAATATTTACATTACCCCACCCAATTTCTTTTCGATTGAGATTAAGAGAAGTAGGCCCAAAGTCTATTAATGAAGCAAAACGAATTGCAGTAAGGTTAGATGCTCATAAGGAAGCTGATAAAAGCAGGGGTGGTAGGAATCATGTAAGAAATATTGCACCTGAAGTAAATCAAACAGACAGAAAATTAAATGAGATGTCTTATCAAATGAAAAAGTTAACAGCTCAGGTTCATGACAACAACAACCTAAAGCAATTTCATAGGGGTAATGAACCAAACAAAATAGGGCATAGGTTTGATAACAGGGTTGATAGGACCCATAATTATCAAGAACGAGGAAGATCATTTCATAAAGGCCCAGACAAGGTCCAAGCATTTATTAAGCAAAATAACTACTCGGGAAACGGGCGCGGCTCGAGTTTAAGGACCGAAATTCGAAACCCGGCCAGAGGTCCAAATCAGACACAATAAATGCTAATCAAAATTTGACGAAAGATGATGGATTTTTCTTGCCTGCTCACTTATATGATATTAAAGTTACTATGTTAGTTGATACAGGATCTAATGTTACAATTCTCCGTAAAAGTTTGTATGATAAAATTTCGGAGGACAAGAAGCCGGAAATAATACCAATTAACATGATGCTTTAACCACTTGTCACTGGTAAAACGGTTTTCCTTTTTTTGGAAAAAATTAAGTCAATGTTTAAAAATAGGTTAAACAATGTTTCAAAGCAAATATTTTCCCTTGGAAAGATAAAAAAAAGGGATGGTATTTTTGGGTTTTGGATTTCTTTAAAGCAATTAATGAAAGTTTGGGATTTTTGCAAAAAAAACAGTATTTTTAAAATGGGGGAAGATGTCTTTTTCCCTTTCATAGAGAAAAAATGAAAATTAAAGCTACATTTGCCCGAATATTGGAAAGAAGAAAATACAATTATAAAAACCAAGAAACCGAAATAATAGGGGGGTTGGGGGAAATTTCAAATGCAACAAATTCGTAAAATTTGGGGAAAGAACCAAATTTCCCCAAAGGATTCTTTTAAAAAAGAGGGGGTTTTTTTTGGAAAGGGCAAAAGGGCTCTAAATGATATTAAAAAAGTTTGGGAAACATTTCCAAATACGAAATGGTTTAATTTTTAAAATACGGAGCCTTGAAAACAGTTTAGAAAAATACTGTTGGCTGCATTTTATAGAAAGCTGCTGAGGGCAACCAGACTATTGTTTAACGTGAAAAAACAGTAGGTGTCTGCTGAGAGTAATGATACAAAAGATACCAAATTCAATTTAAAAGATGGTCTTAGAGAAGGGGCCGTTGAAAAATTAACAAATGCCGAGGCAAAAAAGGTTAAGACTCTTTGATTAAACATCAAAAAATGGGTGTTCCTCTCGAGATTCTGGGTGATATTGGAGAAAACACATATTGTGAGCCCTACACAATTTTAGAAACAGAAAAATGCTGGAGACCGATAAAACAAGCCCTTATTGGGGTTCCCCTTGCAAAACTTTAGCCGCCAGAAAAAAAAAATTAAAAGGAAATGGCTGAAAAAAGGTTTTTATAGGACCCCTTCCCCAAAAGCCCCTGGAGTATCCTGGGGTTCAGGGTTTTACAAAAACCAAAGGGTTTGCAAAAAATTTTGGCTTTTAAAATTAAATAAATTTTTTACTTTTAAAAGATAGTCAACCCAAATTAAAAAAAGGAAAATTGTGTTGGGATTTTTAAATCGGGGTGCCCTGCCCGGGTTTATACTTTTTGGACTCAAAAATCGGGAAATTTTGGGCAGGTGGGAAAATGTAAAAACACTGAAACCATAAAAAAAGCTTTTCCCTCATCCCCAAGGTGTGGGTTTAGGCATTTTTACAGGAATGCCTTTTTGGTTTATGTAATTCCCCAATCGTCTTTTAAAGAGCCCTAAGGGAAAAGAGTTTTTAGCAGGTCTTATTTGGGAAAAACCCAATTTTTTTTTTAAAATCTTGTGTTTATAATAACTATTCAAAAACTTTTAAAGATCATCTATCTGGGTTTTTGAGGCTATATTCACACGCAGGGAAAAAGGGAAATTTTAAAACTTGGGCCAAAAAATGTATTTTATTTAAAAAACCCAATTTTGAGGTTCCTTGGTCACCTAATCAGTTAAAAAAGGAAATTTGCAACTGTTTCCCCGAAAATTTTAAAGGGTGTGAAAAAACTGGAAAACCCCCAAAGAAAAGAAAACCCCCGTAAAAGGTCCCTATTTTTCTTAGGACGGGTGTTTTTTACTTTTAAAAAAATTTGAAAAATTTGCTTTTCGTAAATTTGCAAAAACCCAAATTGGGCAAAAAATTTGCCCTAAAAAAGGGTTTTGAACGATTTCTTTTGGGTCAGGGGGCTTGGGGAAAACCCATTTAAAAAATCTCAAACTTGGATTGATAAATGCTCCAGTATTGTCATATCCAAAGTCTGATGGTATATATATCTTAGACGCTGATGCAAGTGGGGTTGGTATCGATTCTGTATTGCAGCAGATGCAAGATGGTGAGAAAAAGTTATTTCGAAAGAAAAAAGACGGTATTGTGTGACTAGAAGAGAGCTTCTTGCCGTGATTTGTTCAGTGAGTCATTATTACCATTACTTGTTTGGATGTCATTTTATAATAAGGAGCGACCATGGCGCTTTAAGGTGGTTAACCAATTTTAAACAGCCAGAAGGCCAAGTGGCCAGATGGCTAGATATGTTGTCGATTTATGACTATGAGATAAAACATAGAGCTGGTCGTATTCATTCAAATGCTGATGCGTTGTCCAGACGACCTTGTAGTCATAGTGGATGCACTTACTGTGATAAAGCAGACGTCAGATATACAAAGTAGGTATACGAATTAGGTTTGAATATGAAATATAGGCTAGAAGAGGGGATAAGCACAACATTTAATGTTGAAGTTAATGCTTGTCAGAACTCATTAGAACAAGAGAAAGAACTGCTTAATAGAAGTAGTAGAAAAGGTTCTGTAATCTTGGGTGAATTGATTTGCAATTAGAAGGTGGGCATGACGATGCTTTTCACCAAGCTGTTGATGTGATCCAAGATCAAGAGCAGGTTGTTGGGCTTCAGAAAGTCAGCAAGAGTGTAAACATGCAGGTCATTGAAACTGTTGCTGATGATAGTGAAGTATCAACAGAATGTGAAAGTCATAGGTCTGAGATAGTGAATGAACATCAAAGGAATATTCTGAATGAAACATGTGGTATGGGTGGACATAAAGTCTAAGATCCCCACATGTTGGAATAATACTGATGTTAGTAACACACCAGTTAGAGAAATCCTAATTTCGTTGAATGGCAAATCTATTGCAGATGTCCAAGATAAAGACGAAAATATAAATACTATAAAGATGTGGTTACAAAATAATGAAAAACCTAAATGTCTTATTGGAATCGGTATGATTCATTTAAGATAGAAAATGGAGTTTTATACCATCTTTGGGAAGAAATTGATGGGAAATCTATTAAGTACCTAGTGGTGTTGCCTAGAGTGTTAGTCAATGAGGTGTTATTGGAGCTACACAATAGTCCTATAGGAGGTCACTTAGGGGAACGTAAAACTAAGCTGAAAGTAAAGCAGCGGTTATTTTGGTTTTCGGCATTTTCTAGTTGGGTGGTTCCAATATTCCTACATGAATAATGTTGAATCACCCTTAGGATATGTTGCCTGCTTTTTAAATTTGTCTTTTGACGTCTTATCTGTGATACGCAGGCTTCATATTCTCTGATCCCCTTTCTAAATTCCATTTTATTTAGTTCCGCCCATTGTTTTCTCGTTTAGAGCACACGCTTTTTATTACTTGGGGACCATACGCCGCTTTTCATGGAATGGCACGGAAGTGTCACATTGAAGGTTCCATGATAACCGCCGTATGAACACATCTGCGGATGTTTCTAAATTCAAAATTTTACTATTTCACGTTTAAATGTTGAATTCTGCTTAAGCCGGTGCTAGGGGGCGTGGACGGTAGCTTGCACTTTCCAGTACTGTCCATGAACAGGCTCAATTTAACCGAGCCTGCAACATTTTCAATTTTGCTGTGTTGGGCTTTCTTTAGGGATTCTGTATTTATCTATTTGGATTATCCAAAGATGTGAAAAGTTGGTGCAAAACCTGTGACCTGTGTGCGTCTCAGAAAGGCCCTCCAAGAAAAGCAAAAGCTGCTATGAAACAGTATCTAGTAGGTGCCCCTTTGGAAAAAGTTGGTATAGATATAACTGGACCTCTGCCTAAAAGCAATAAAGGAAATAAGTATATACTTACCATTGTCGACTACTTTACTAAATGGATTGTAGCAATTCCATTGGTAAATCAAGAGGCCCATACCGTAGCCAACAGCTTTGTTGAAAAGTTTGTTTCGGTATTCGGTGTGCCTAAGCAACTTACCGATTATTTCAATGGCATATAATTTTTCTGTCTAAGAAAGTACAGGGTTTACACCAAGTATGATGATGTTTGGACGAGAGATGCAATTACCTATTGATCTAGCATTAGGACAACCTTAAAACATAGAAAGAATGTCTGAAACTGAATATGCATCTCTGCTTACGGATAAACTAAATTAAGTACTTTAGGTTGCGCGAAAACATATTTCATTGGCAAGCGATTCACAAAAACGTGTTTACGACCACAGATTAATGCAAACTGCATTTGATGTGGGTGATTTAGTTTGGTTGTATAACACCCAAGTTAAGACAGGTCTAAGTGTAAAGTTATCAAGACGCTGGACGGGTCCTTTTACTGTTACTAAGAAACTTAATGACGTGGTGTATAGAATACAATTAAATAAGCGCTCTAAACCAAAAGTTGTACATCATGACCGACTGAAACGTTATGAAGGAACTGCTGAGTCTTGGCTGAAAACTAATTAATGTTCAATGTAGAAGTAAATATATATATATATATGCACATGAATAAATAAATAAATAAATAAATAAATAAATAAATAAATAAATAAATAAATAATTTATATTGAATTTTTTTTCAGTGGCTCTGTGTAATTTGTCAAAATGTTGTCTTTGACAAGTACCATGTGGCAAGCCGCCATGTGATGGAGAAGCACAGCCACTTCATGTTCCAGTGCAATAAATGTAGAAAGGTTTTCACTCGGCGTTGTTACAACCATAACAGCTGTAGAAATTTACAGTCAAAAGATTTTGACTTGATGGCACCTGATGGTTCCCGAGACAGGGCCGCTGAACTTTTGTTTGAATGGAAAAAGAACAAGTTACCAAATCTTGTCAAAAGTGTAGAGGTAGGGTACCTCAGAAATATAAGACTCCTAAAAGAGGAATATGGTCCAACCTCTGTGGGCTTAGACAGTCAAAGTGTAAATACTGACAAGTCAGAAGAGTACGACGATCTCTTTAACTTAGTTGAGAAGCCCATTTCACCAATTTCAAGCCCAGTTAGAAAGGTAGTTATCAACAAACAGAAAGATTTTGAAGATATAAGTGATGACGAATTAGATTTTGAAGATGAGGTGGAAGAGAAAGATGGTTCAAATAATAATAGAAAGGGTAATACTGGTATATCATTATCAGAAAGTTCCTCTGAATCTTCCTCATCGTCGACATCATCGTCAAATACACATAGCAGTATAAAAATAAAGAAAAGAAAACGCACTTGGGACAAATTTAAAGAAAATAAAAACCTTTCTGACAGTGATAGCGATGAGTCAATAAAAGTGCCAAAAAGAAAACAAAAACTAAGTGTTTCTAAAGAAGGAAATAAAATCAATGATGAGGACTTACATTTGAAAGAGAAAAATGAGTTTGTTAAAGAGTGTGAAAGAAAAAGACTGAACAAAGATGACAGTAAACAAGAAAGAATGGAAAAATTGAAAACTGAAATGAGAAACATAGATGAGGAAATAGAGAAAATGAAAGAGAAGAATGAAAAATTAGAGCAGAAACTTAAAGGAGAGAAGGTTAATCAAAATAGTTGTTCCTCGAAAAGTAAATCAGCCAATAAAGGTGAAAGATATGTGAAAACAAATAAGAAGGAAGGAGAGGATCACAGAATAAAGGTAGAAAGTGTAAATAAACAAACTGATAATAGACAGAGAAAAGTGAATGAAAGAGAGGTGAAAGAAGAACTGTCTGATAAAGATAAATGTTCTAAAAGCCATGAAAATAATATTAAGAAAAAGCAAGTGAAAACCAGCATTGAAGAAAAACAAGTTGAAAATAACAGTAGAGATAAAATGAATGTTGTAAAGAGTGTCGGCAATAACAAACAGATAGTAGAGAGAAAAATTGTTGAAGGAAGTATCAAACAGAAGGATGTAGTTATAAGTGTTCCAGAGAGAAGAAGTGAATCAGGACAGAAGAAACAAGTTGAAGAGCAAAAACGGAAAAGTGATATATCAGTAAAGAAAGTTCTGTTAGAAGAAAGTATAAAGAACCAAACTAAAAAGGAACAACCCGTTAACCAAAACCATCTAACAACAAAGGTTGAAATGGTACCAAAACCTAAATCTGAAACAAATAAGTTTGAGAATAGCACGCCGCAAAGTGAAATTAAGGTAGAAAATGAGATCAATAATGAACAAAAACCTGAAACTAATACTGACTTAAAAAAGGAGAATGATTTAAGATACTTTAAGGATCGTTTTGTTGACATCCCTCTTTTAGAAGAAGCGCAGAAAGAACGCATTATATTAAAAATTGGTGGCCAGAAATTAAAAACATCTAGGCTCACTTTAACAAAGTTTCCAGAAGGTTTGTTGGCACAAATTGTCGGACCAAAAGGAATGACTCCTAAATATGGAAACGTTTACTTCATACACAGAGATCCATCACATTTCAGGTTTTTTTTGAATTTCTTGCGGAACGGATGTGTAGATTTAAGAACACTACCGCATGATCTGCTTTATTTATATGAGCTGTATTACGAAGCCAATTTTTTACCAACTGCCAGCTTTGGAGACGGCATTCATTAGTAAGATTGACCAAGTGAGTGTGGTAGGAGCCAATATTGTTCCTCTTACAGGGTTTACTGCTCAGAAACTAAAGTGAGTATTATGAAGTGAATAAAAAAGTGAAATTAAATATTTTTGAAAAGGCTGAGTGTATAGTAGGAAAGTTACATTTGTTAAAGGGTTACTGTGCTCAAGATGTGTTTGTTGTTTTTGTGATTTTTTTAAGCACATAAACATGTATGATAGTAACTGACAATAAATCAAACGTTTTCAAGTATAAAGTCTTTAAAAGATAAACATTTGTCGCGAAACATAAATTCTGTCATAGTAAATAACTATTGTTGTAAATATTTTCGTTATTACTATTAGTTGTTTATTAAGATATATAGTGTATAGTTTAATGTATAAGTGAATTAACTTAAGTACTTTAAGCTTGGTTCACCTTTAAAAGTTTTAACTGAACACATGAATTTTTTTTTAATTGTATTGTTGTTAACTTTAACTTTGAGAGAGAAAATGATTGTGACTGTAATGCTCACATGTTAAGTATTTTTGAGGAAATTATTCATCTTGAAAAATAACTTCACTGTTCCTAATATCTAGTTCATATAGTTTAAAATATTGTAAAATTTAATATATTTCTTTTCTATTCTTTATGACAATTTTAATTACAGTTAAGAAAGTTAAATTGAATGGCTTAAGTATCTTACTTGAAGTTTGTCTTCAGGTCTTACTTGATGACAAGTGAAGTCTTTAAGCTAATATTTTGAATTTGGTAAAATGAAATTTTATTATTTTACTTTTCTTCTAAGGAAATTTAAAACTAATATAATGTATATAAACCAAAACTTAGATAGTGTGGGGGGGGGGCAATGTAACGATAGCACCTCAATGTAAAACAAATATTTACATTACCCCACCCACTTTCTTTTCCTTAGAAATATTGATATGTATTTTAAATGTACAATGTATAATATTGTAATACTACAATACTGTTCATGATTTCAAGATGTACATATTTGTAATATGTGTTGACAGTTCATGTTGTTTTCAGGAAAAAAAATACTATGCACCCTAATCAACGCTTTAAAAGTGACGTATTTTTACGCTTGAATTCGCCGCTATTTATTTCAGCAGATAATCGTGTCTTATTCATATATTCTTAAATGGTATTAAAAATTATTGATAAATATCAATAATATAACTGTTATTTTGACAAAGTGTACCTTTAAAATCATTAAAAGTGCTTTTATAAGTTCAAAATCCAGAAAAGAATTGTGATTTTTGAGTTACTTCCTGGTTTATGTCCGCCATTACATTTCCTACTACGTCATCGCTGAAGACGTCACATCTGACGAAATTTTCATATAAATACAGCGGCATTGTTATTTTTTTCGGAATACCATTGACGAGGGTATTCCGTGTGTCGCTCACCAACGAGAAAATAAATTCTATTGGTAAAATAACTATGGGCACAGAAGAGGTAAAGTTCCCTAAATCAACCAAGTAAATAAAAATGTGGTAATTCCTAAGTGTCTCCATCTCCAGTGTTTCAAAGTGTTTAAGTCTTGTGTTTACCAATATAACCATTCTTAAGTGTAAAGTTCGTTAAATTTACCTTGTCAGTTGGTGAAAATTATAAACCATTGAACCAACGTGTATTTTTCATTATATTTATATATATATTTTTTATCTCTATCTTGCGTATATTTCAAGTGCTAATTTATTAATGTGTACAATTGGTCAAAGATGTTGATAAACTGTGACGAGGATTGTCGAAGTTGCTAACCTTTACCAACTGGTAAAATTCACCAACTGGTAAAAGCTACAAAAGGCGTAGTCTAACTTAAATTGTTACTCGTTTCTTTGTGGTATGAAACCACTTAATCGGTGAATATAATATTTAAGAGAATTTGTTGCTCGGTGATAACATATTAAAGTGTAAACTTCCTTAGAAGACTCCTACATTAAAAATTGAAACAAATATCTTAGGAACAATTTGACATTTGTGTTCGAAAAGAATTCGTTCTATGTATTCAGGTAAATTAAAATAATTAGGGTGCACAATATTACTATTTGTCGTAAATACAAATAAACATTTTAATAACTATATGATGTAATATTATTAGCTGTTCGTTATAACTGTAAAATTCCTTTAATAAAGTTAATCGTTAAACTTTTTATTATCCCCCGCCGATGGAATCAGGAGGGGGATGTAGTTTTGGCGTTGTCCGTCCGTCCATCCGTCCGTCCGAATTTTGTTTCCGGAGTAGTTCTCTGCAACTACTGGCTGGAATTCAACGAAACTTTATAGGAATCATCAATATTAAGAGGAGATGTGCATATTCGTCGGCTTGTTCCGGTCAGACACTTTAACTCAGAGTTATGGCCCTTGATTAGTTATGTAGTATGCATATAGAGTAAAAATCGTTTCCGGAGTAGTTCTCTGCAACTACTGGCTGGAATTCAACGAAACTTTATGGGAATCATCAATATCAAGAGGAGATGCGCATATCGTCGGCTTGTTTTGGTCAGACACTTTAACTCAGAGTTATGGCCCTTAATTAGTTATGTAGTATGCATATAGAGTAAACATCGTTTCCGTACTACTTCTCTGCAACTACTGGCTGGAATTCAACGAAACTTTATTGGAATCATCAATACCAAGAGGAGATGCGCATATCGTCGACTTGTTCTGGTCAGATACTTTAACTCAGAGTTATGGCCCTTGATTAGTTATGCAGTATGCATATGGAGTAAAAATGGTTTCCGCGCTACTTCTCTGCAACTACTGGCTGGAATTCAACGAAACTTTATGGGAATCATCAATACCAAGAGGCCATGCGCATATCGTCGTCTTGTTCCGGTCAGATACTTTAACTCAGAGTTATGGCCCTTGATTAGTTATGCAGTATGCATATGGAGTAAAAATCGTTTCCGCGCTACTTCTCTGCAACTACAGGCTGGAATTCAACGAAACTTTATGGGAACCTTCAATACCAAGAGGAGATGCGCATATCGTCGGCTTGTTTGGGTCAGACACTTTAACTCAGAGTTATGGCCCTTGATTAGTTATGCAATATGCATATGGAGTAAAAATCGTTTCCGTACTACTTCTCTGCAACTACTGGCTGGAATTCAACGAAACTTTATGGGAACTTTCAATACCAGGAGGAGATGCGCATATCGTCGGCTTGTTCGGGTCAGACACTTTAACTCAGAGTTATGGCCCTTGATTAGTTATGCAGTATGCATATGGAGTAAAAATCGTTTCCGCGCTGACTCCTCTGCAACTACTGGCTGGAATTCAACGAAACTTTATGGGAACCTTCAATACCAAGAGGAGATGCCCATATCGTCGGCTTGTTCCGGTCAGACACTTTAACTCAGAGTTATGGCCCTTGATAAGTTATGCAGTATCCATATAGAAAAATATTTGTTTCCTCGCTACTTCTCTGCTACAACTGGCTGGAATTCAATGAAACTTTATGGGATACTAAGAGGAGATGTGCATATAGTCGCCTTGTTCCAGTCAGATACTTATAACTCAGATTTATGGCCCTTGATTAGGTATGTAGTATGCATACATCTCATTGGCATTTCCAGGTTTTACTATTTAACACAAAGTTATGGCTCTGTTATTATCAAGTTCAAAGAATATTACTGTTTATGCCATGATTAATATATAAATAAAGCCTTATGTCTTCAGTTGTTGTGTCAATAATAACCAGTACTCGGCGGGGGATATACATTCAACGAATTTGCTTGTTGCCTCCGTTTTTCCTTGCCAGACAGGTAGTAAATATCAATTTACCAAAAAGCCGGGCCCAGGCGAACTCATGTAGTTTGCCCCCATGTGTGCTTTGTAACTCTTATAAATTATCGCTACCTAAACGGGGAGTAACGCTACACTTGAAAGTCAAAATATGAACTTATAATAGTATCAGTGTGACGTACATATATGTAAAACAACCAAAGACTAAACACAAAACACATTTTGTGCGTTTGTTGATAAAGAAAATGAATAATTATAATATTATACAAACTTATAAACCACGACATTAATAATATATTAGTGCTGCAATTCATAGGGTAAAATGACACCGAAGTGGTCTATGTCAGCCAACAGCAAGTTTTATATACCAAATTGTTTGTCTTTTGTTTTGTTTGTTTGGATTTTTACGGCACGTCAACACATAACTGGCCATATCGTGCCGAATGCTATAATAGGCTTAAAATATTATGTAAAACATTGTAAATGACAATAGAAATGAGCCAATTAGATCCTAGAATACAAGTTTATCTCTTTTAAATAATCAATTATGTTTTTTGATGGAATTGTATTAAAAAGTTCTTTGAGTGAATTTACAGAATAAAATCTATTACGGGCCTGTGAAAAATCATGACATTCAAGAAGAAAATGCTTGACAGTAAAATTTTCATTACAACCTACACAGAAAGGGGCATTGTCATTTGTTAGGAGATAAGAGTGGGTAATTTTAGTGTGTCCAATTCGGCATCGAAGAAGAACTGTTTGATCACGGCGGTTTGACAGAGATAGAGATGGTGACATATCAAGAGATGGGTTTATATCGTGAAGTTTATTAAAAACGGCATTGTCCCAATTTGCTTTCCATTCAGATGATACGAGTTTATTTATAGCCGGTCTAAAAATCACAAGCAGGTAACAATAAGTCAGTTTTTTTGAAAAATTTATTGATTGTTTAGCTAAAGCATCTACTTTTTTCATTTCCTCGTATTCCTACATGGCTTGGAATTCAATATAATTCAACATATTTTGTTTTTAGTATATCCTGAAATCTTAAAGAAGTTTCTTTACCATGATATTGTCAGATTTTTTTATTTTTAATGGATATTAAAACAGAAAGCGAGTCAGAAAATATCACAAATTTATCGTGGGTATGCTGTGCTATGTATGACAATGCTAAATCGATAGCTTTTGCTTCAGCAGTAAAAATTGATGCATTATCTGGTAACCTCATACTAGATGTAAAATTATT